GTACCCTGCCGTCGACTATTTGATATGGTTAGCGGGTTAGGATTATGGGTTAGGGTTAGTGGATTAGGTTCTAGGGTTAGGGCACGTTTCAGGGTTAGGCGATAGGCGTAGGCGACTCCTCTAGACTCAGTTCAGTGGAGTAGCCGCCGACATGATACGTCCGGCATATTAAGATAGTACCAGGGTACGTATGGCGGCAGTACCCTTGACGGCGCGACAATTAGACCTGCTCAGGCCTGTACTTGGTGTGTGCTGCTCTCTTACAGAATACCACCTCAACACATTTACTCGAGCCAAGATTTAAGTAAAAATCGACAAAACCTTCTTCCTCTGCTGCACCAACGCTATCAACACTTGCATATTTATGAGCTCATCAACACTAGCTAGCAGCACTTACAACTTATCTACATAAGCAATTACGAATACCTTCATGGATGTATAACTAACTACACAGCAGCTCTACATTTACAAGCAAGACTCTCATTTAATAAATCTTTAAGACATTTTTGTTTTGTTTTAAAGGTTTCCGACCATCGAGATGTCCGTTTCAGGAGCGGCAGTACATGGCAACAGTCACGTTCACTCCTGCCTTTGCCGAGTTCATTGTTTTGCCCAGTACAGCAAACATACCTAAATTTAGTCAGCAAAAATCAGCTTCCAATAATAAGCATGCATAGCTCGGAGCACCCATTTTTATGAGCTTTTAAAAATAAATCAGAATGTGAACCTATTCACCAGGGTAGCAGTAATTAATTTCATGCAGTGCAGTGCCATTTCCACTAAATTCTCACATCTTTTTGCATTCACTATTTATAGCCAAATAATACACCCCAAGAAAAAAAATTTTTTTTTTTACCCCCCCCCCCAAACAGTTTTGAAAACTTCTACAACGTCATGTATGATACTTATGTCCGCTTTTATACTGGAGTTCTATCCCGCTTCAGCGTCCGGACCTGAAGCGGGATAAACCACAGTATAAAGTCGAAAACCACCCTTTAGCCGCAGCTTAAAGTTAGTTCCCGCTCTAGTGGGGTGGTTCAGCGTCCGCTTCAGACCCGAGGTTAACGTTTCAGTATAAAAGATATCTCGACTTTAGCCCGCTCTAAATTCCCCCCCCAACTACCCCATTTATACTGCCGGCGGATTATCTCGCTCAGGTCCGGGACCTAGAAGCGGTGATAAAGCTTCCGATAATTAACAAAGGTTCGAAAAACACTTAGCGCGAGCTAAAGGTTATTCCACCTCATGAGGTGGTTCAGGTCCGCTTTCAGACCCAAAGCAACGTCAGTAGTATAAAACGACTTATCCCGAGCTAAAGTTATCCCGCTTCAGCAGTATAAAACGACTTATCCCGAGCTAAAGTTATCCCGCTTCAGAAGCGGGCTAAAGTCGTGCGCAGTATGAAACGACTTATCCCGAGCTAAAGTTATCCCGCTTCAGAAGCGGGCTAAAGTCGTGCGCAGTATAAAAGCGGCATTACAGTTACATAAACGCGAGCCAATGACAAAAAAAAACAAGCGAAATGAGTGGCAGGAACATATGCATGCATGTACACAAACAAACGTGAGGGAAACAAAAAGCAAGAATGCATACACAGCGCAGACAACACGCATATATATATCTATGTTGTAATCTCGCTGTTACATATTCTGCATAATTTCTTTTTTTCTCTCTCACTTTTTCCAGAATCTATTCATTGGCTTCAGAACTCGCACCTGTGAAGTCACGATCTATTTCAGGGACTATTCCAGGGGTAAAAATTAACTTTTGAACAAGGGAGTCCATGCAACCCCTACCCTGAAAAAGAGGGAGTCCGCAGTCTGAGGTTCAAAATTAAAGATATTAACAATAACGCATGTGCTTATTTTTAAGATTCGATCATGCAGTTGCACGTCTGCCAAATTTTCTTTGGACATTAGCTGAAAAAATACAGTAATTCTGCGAGGCCGTGCTCCGGAACGAACAAGTTAGTATCGCAGAATTTTCAGGGAGTCGCGTACACGAACTTCTGTATGTGTCAAATCAGGGAGTACGGCAGTAAATCAGGGAGTATTTGACTCCGGACTCCCGTTAATTTCGCACCCTGCTATTCATTGCCAATTAGACGGCCAGGCAGCCTTCACACGGATGTAACGGATCATTTCTAATTTGGGAGCATCCAGAAGGAAATAATGAAGCCAATTTCCTGATTCAACTGCAGGCCGGTATTATCGCCTGAATTCTGCCTGCAGCCACTAAACGCCGCTATAAATATCCGAACAAGCAACCTTCTGATTAGTCCAGTCACCTGAAGATATTCTTGAAGCTACATTCCAATCCACTTCGTTTTTATTACTAGTTAAAGTAATATTTTTTAGATAAAATATTATATCTTGTATTATCATTTGGCACCAAAAACAATGATAGTTGCTACGATATTTGGCAAAAAAAGCACTTTTGTGACATGGAAACTTTAATGCAATGTAAATTTTGCGGAGAATAGGTGCTGCCATGCACGTCATACTGCTAGCACTTGTGAAGCTGGCAGAACGATCCGGCAGGCAGCTGGTGATGAGATATATATATATATGCATTCTGGGCAATTCTAGGAAATCCAGGAAAATCCTGTGCGACTCATGCCATATTAGAACAGTTAAGCACTGACAACAACAACAACAACAACAACAACAACAACAACGATATAACATCATACAGATAAACATCATTACACCACCAGTCTTTTACAGTATCAATAGAACCGGCGACTAGCGGGAGATTACACTTCAATCAGCAAAGCACTTCATCAAGGTCACACTGCATACTAGTAGGAGCAGCAAACGGTCAGCCTGGGCTCTGGCAGCATGCCAACCTTGCACTGCAGGCAAGCACTCCTATGTGCGCACGGCATGGCCCTCCGGCAGTGCGAGAGACGGCTGGATGCTAGCCGTGCATAGTAGCATGGCAATACAACTTGCTACCGTAACCTACATAGTACGATTTTATACCCATCTAAACATTGTCAGGTACCAATTTAGAAAAAAAAACTAATATATATCTATGCAGCATCCTGCATTATGCTGAAATCGCATTATATATATATAGATATATATATATATATATATATCAAGAGCTAAAAATACCTAATATTAGCTCCCGATATATATATAATATATAAATAGCCAACATCTGCATCACCCGTGTACTGCTGTACGGTTCTTAAAGGGATAGTTTACTCTAGGTTCTAGGGTTATTTTCAGTTAATTTAGGTTAAAATTACGCTACATAAAAAGTTTCATGGTTCTACAGTTTGATTACAACGACGGTGGCGCCACTCAAAGCACACGATCTGATAAGTTGCGCAAAACCACTTTACAGCTAAGGGCTACAGACCGAGGGTGTTTCTTATTTATTAATTTATAAGCAAAAGGATTGTAATATCTTATAAACGACATATAGTTTCAGTTATATTATGGATAAATTTGTCCTAAAATGAACATCGTTCGGTTAAATAGCATTTAGGTATAAATATAATTTAGAGACTGCACATTTCCATGAAAACGGAAAATGGACGGAAATCAGGGAATCACCCCTCTGAAACGGAATCACCAGTTTCACCAAAAATAACCCCCCAAAACACAAAAATAACCTTTAAAACAGCTCAAATCACTCTCGATCACCTCACAGATCATAACTCAGAATTTAGCATAACGACCAACACAAGACAGTTACAGTTTCAAATTGACCAGGCTTTTTTTCTCCAAGCATCAGGCTCATCAGTGCTGTATATATGTTGAACAGGCATCCATCAGTGTTTTCTCTTAATTTTAATTATTTTTGAATTAAAATGTAGAAATTTGCTGAAACGGAATTGAAGTGGAATTTAGTAATCTCCGAAACGGAATTTGGCAAATTTTGAAGCGGAAATGTGCAGTCTCTAATAATTGCACCTTTGTGATTAGCCCTCGGTTTGTAACGTGCAAAATAAATTGGCAAATACGCAACTTTTTCAGGGTGGCAGCACAATCGCGGGTGTCATGGCGCCAAATTTCGTAGCGTTGATGTGTAATTAATTATAACAATTAAATTAGGTATCTGGTGACAAATACATGTGGGTATCTAGACGATTTGTTATACAGTAAGTACCGTTGTATGTAGTAAAATCCTAGAGTCTACTATCCCTAAAAGTCACGGGCTCTTGACATTTCCCAGGTGCCCACACTTAACACCCCTCACGGTGACACAATTAGTGGAGTCGCTGATATTTTCGATCCACTAGCAGGATTATGTCGCTAATGACAATCCACGAGCTTGTACAAATTCGAACAGAAGATATTTTTAAGGAAGAGAAGGCGCTAGAGTTTTAGAACGGAAAGAGACGATATACGCAGGAAATGTGACAAGTGGGTAGCGGTGGGTAGACAAAGACACGGCTAGCTCTGCAGAAAACATGGACAGACTGCCTGGTGCAACTGCAAGACCCCGGCAGACCGTGGAAAACACGAAACGATGTGAAGCAACGCACACTTGATGTCAATGCCAACAGAAAGCATTTCTCGCTATCCTATCAAAGGTGTAAATGGAGGGGGGCAGAATTGCATTAGTATTACAGGGTGCGAAATTAACGCGAGTCCGGAGTCAAATACTCCCTGATTTACTGTCGGAGTCCCTGATTTTATATATGCAGGAGTCCGTGTGACTCCCTGAAAATTCTGCTATACTAAACCCTAGCGCAGACTTGCGACTAGACTTGCGCAGATCGGTCGCACGCCTCGCCGAGTGTGCGCATGCAAGCGACTGGCTACCATTTGGCGAAAAATGACGCTGGCGGCATGGGCAGTATTTACCCGTCATCTCCAGTCGGATCGCGACATCTTTATATGCCGCATGTTTCTTAGTGCGATCGCTATTTAAAAAAAAGCTGCGGTATCCGGGGAATGATCCGGGCCTGTAAAATCCCTTTAACCTACAGGCCCGGCTGGCCTGTAACTTTTCAAACTAATTTCTACCCCTGGTATACGTACTGATCAGTGCCAGTTTCTTCCAGTTCGCGCCGAGAGCGCCGTGGGCGACGAGAGAGAAGCCTAGAGTGGCGCCGACTATGCTGTGAGTGCCGGAGACGGGAAGCTTAAGGAAGGTCGCCACCACCAACCAGATGCTGCTACCTGAAACACATTAGCAGGGAAGTAGAAATTAACTTTTGAGCAAGCGAGTCCTGCCCTCAAGAGAGGGAGTCTGCAGCAAAACGAGGGAGTCCGCAATCTGAAGTTCAAAACTAAAGATATTAAAACAATAACGCATGTTGAAGATTCATGCGGTTGCATGTCTGCCAAATGTTCTGTGGACATTTGCTGAAAAAATACGGTAATTTCGCGAGGCCGTGTTCTGGAACGTACTAGTTAGTATAGCAGAATTTTCAGGGAGTCACACGGACTCCTGCATATATGTCAAATCAGGGAGTCCAACAGTAAATCGGGCCCGGGGGAGTATTTGATTCCGGACTCCGGTATTTTGCACCCTGAAATTACCACGCACCGAACTAGCACGGAATTACTATTAAACGATTCCCGTGACAGAAGGCAATCGCAGCATTAATAGAAACAATTACAGAAATTACTGCAGTAATGCAACATGAACGATGTAGGCAGTAACATGAAATCACGTTGGATACAAGAAAACGGTTGTTCGGAAGGAAAGGTAAAAGAGATGGAACCGTTGCATGGGGGAAGACTTTAATATTGAGTAGATTGTGAAAGTAATGTAAACATAAAAGGTAGAACTAAACTAGCACTGCGGATCTATACGAAAGTATACAAGACATGACACCGTGGTCAGCAAATTAAATTACATCCAGGCCAAGACGGCAGTGTAATTATAGTATTTGATTCCATTCCACGTCATCCATAATAATTAGCAATTAATGCTCCCTAGTTGAATTCTACCTTGAACCAAACCTTAATTCTGACCCAGTAATCAATTTCTGCCACTGAAGTAAAAGTAACAAACCAATATTATCTTGAGCTGCCCCCCCCCCCCTCCTAAAAACCATGGCGCCACCTAGATCTGATGAACAGGGGGGAAATTGCACGCCGAATTCATGACAATAAGATGTTAAAAAATTAATCATCACGGCCTAACATCCTAATATCCTAAATGCATTTCGCACGTTTTCCAGAAAGCCAATTTAAATCGGCTCCGACACACAGTACGCGCCTACATAGGAGCCCACCGCGTGTGTCAGAACAGCTTGGTCTCATTTGAAGGGCGTTATTGCACCGCTTCTGCTGTGGGGATACCCATCCAAGCAGGCAGCGATGCTTGCCGAACGTTTTCCGCTGACAACTTCACAGAAATCGCCTCACGCCACCGATCAAAACACTAGGGGGCCAGTAGGGCGAAATGATCGGATATTTTCTAACGGCAGCGACACGCAGACATTCCGTGGAGGTTTGCACACACGCGGTGTTGATTCTCTTCCCCCCACCAACCCCTTCCTGTGTTTGGGATCTTGACTGCTAGTGCTAGCAGATCTGACACCCACCACCCTACAAAATGCAATTTTTCCACTGCAAGAATTCTTAGGCCATAATAAAAATATTCTTTGTTTGCCCTCACCCGACCGACCCGCCAAAAAGGGGCTGACTCAAAAAAATTTCTCAAATTTTTTTTAAACAAATTGTATCACTGTACATTATATAGATCTGTAGGCAATACATTATATGTACCAAGCAAAACAAACATTCAACACTAGACAGAGGGCACTCACGGAGAGTGCATACCTCCGCCAGCGACATACACCATAGGCCATACGACTCACGAACACACAAATAACCCACGATATACCCATGTAACATGTATGTGTTACGAGCTGGCTCGCCGCTCGCTGCTGGCTGCTGCTGACTGCTGCTGGAGCTGGCTGTGGCTGGCTGGCTGGCTTGACTCGACGCGCTAATATCGATCGCGCGAACACATTGACACACGAACACACTAACACACTAACACACGAACACACGAGACCGATCACATAACCTCCTCCAACTCCGTTGGGCGGAGGTAATAAAAGGTATCTCCACACAAGCACACCCGAGCATACATGTAGACACCATGCTGAATTTGTAAAAAGACCCCCGCCCTCAAAAAAAGCCGACCTACCTACCCAAACTTTTCAGCCTGGGTCGAGTGAAGGCAAACAAATTTTTTCTTAATTGTGGCCTTAAGACGCTAGTTATCTTCATCACAACAGGAGTATCTCAAGCGTACTTATATGAACAATTACACGGAGCAATCACTTCCACAGCGAAGCAACGTATATATTACGCTTGTTAAGCTAATTATTAATTATTAATATTTAATAAACTAATTATAAATACTACAAAAAACTGCCCGAACAACTTTAGCGTATTAGTCTCAAATAAAATAAATCATCTAAAGCATTTCCTGCTTGTTTTGGTAATCAAGTATAGACCTTCACACTTTATACGTATGCCGGCGTGTTATTAAAACTACATAACTCAGTCCGCGTGCAACAGTGTAAATTCAGAACAGAAGAGGCAACAAACATTAGAATTTCACTTTATCCCACCACCGTCCCTTCGCCAGGAGTGATGCGCATGGCGACAGCACGTTGGCTACCATTGGCGAAAATGACGCTGGCAGCGCATGTGGCAGTATTACCGTCATCTCCAGTCGGATGCGCGACATCTTTATATGCCGCATGTTTCTTAGTGCGAGTCGCGCTATTCGCGGCAGTGCAACATCAAGACAAAACCGGCCTCTCCATCCACATATCTGAGCGAAATGCTTTCCTTTCATCCTCCCAGCTTGTGTGCTAGTGAGCGTGGAGCCATATTGAAATAGCACGTGATGAAATGTGCTCCAGCTGATTGGTTGGACGAGAATTTGCTCATTGTTGCAAGTCGCTGTCTACCCGCCACACCATGCGATCGTCGAAGGCGTTTCGGAGCGACGCAGTTGCTAGAAAATCAACGTTTGATCTTCTTGCGAGTCATCGCAAGGCAGACAAGATCGGCAGGTTGCGCGTCTCCCACGAGACGCGCTAGCGGCTATTCTCATGCGACGTCGGCTGCGATCTAGAAGTATAGAATCCTAGGCTTAACTAGTTCGTTCGCCAGAGCACGGCCTGCAGCGAATTATCCCGTATTTTTATAGCAAATGTCCCAAGAAATTTGGCATACCGTGCACGCGCAAATGTCCTTTTTGTTAATATTTTTAGTTTTAAACTTGCAAACTGCGGACTCCCCATTTTGCTACAGACTCCTTTGCGTCTTTAGGGTAGGGATCGAGTCCTGTTGGATCGCGTTCTTCAAAAGTTAATGTCTAGCCACGCCTGGTATGTTTAACGCGTAACAAAAAATTGTTTGTTTCCGTAC